CTCCTGTCCCTGAGGTGTTGCCCATGCCCCTGGTGTCCCATGTCCCTGTGTCCTTGTGTCCCCCATATCCCTGTGTTGTCCTTGTGTCCCCCACGTCCCTGGTGTCCCCCATGTCCCCTGTGTCCCCCACGGTGGGTGTCCAAAGACCTGCCCCTTCCCGTCTCTCCCTCGCACAGGGACCTTCTGGAATCCACCCCATCCCCAGTGGTCTTCTGCCACAATGACGTCCAGGAGGGTAAGTGTGACAGGGGGTGGCTGCAACCACCCTCAGATCCCACCCAAGCCCCCCCTGATCCCCGATTCCCACAGGGAACATCCTGCTCCTGGCGGGACACGAGGCCTCGCCCTCGGACAAGCTGATGCTCATCGACTTCGAGTACAGCAGCTACAACTACAGGTGGGGCTGGGGGAGCCCTGGGGAGGCCTCGGGGTGGTCCAGGGGGGGGTCTCTGCTGACCCTCCTCTTCCTCAGGGGCTTCGATATCGGGAACCACTTCTGCGAGTGGGTTTACAACTACACCCACGACTCTTGGCCCTTCTTCAAGGCTTCCCCGGAGAACTACCCCAGCCGGCAGCAGCAGGTGGGGGCCTGGCCTTGGGGGAGGTCCGGGGGGCGGGTCCAGGGTGTGGTTCCAGCCCGTTCCATCCCTTCCCAGCTGCATTTCATCCGGCACTACCTGTCGGAGCACTCGGGGCACCGCGGGGACACCACGCACGAGGAGCAGGCGCGGATCGAGGAGGAGATGCTGACGGAGATCAACCGGTGAGGGGGGGGGGGTCCCTGTGCCCGTGGGGAGCTGTCCTGAGACACATGGGGGTCCCTGTGCCCGTAGGGACTGTCCTAGAGCATGGGGGGGGGTCTCTGTGGCCGTGGGGAGTTCTGGTACCCACGGGGACCATCCTCGGTCACATTCCCCAAACCTGCCCCATCCTGTGTGTGTGTGGGGGGGGGGCACAGGGGGTACCAAGGGTCTCATGGCTGCTCCCCCCACCCCCCCAGGTTCGCTCTGGCCTCCCACTTCTTCTGGGGCCTGTGGTCCATCCTGCAGGCCAAGATCTCCACCATCCAGTTCGGGTACCTGGTGAGCAACTGGGGCGTCCCCTCCGCATCATCCTCCTCTGTCTGGTGGGGGGGTTAAGGGGGGTCTCAGGGGGCTCCAGCAGTCCCTGACCCCCCTTTCGCTCCCCAGGACTATGCACAGAGCCGCTTCCAGGCCTATTTCCAGCACAAGGCTCAGTGTTCCTGACCGAGAGAGGCCCCCCCAGCTCTGCCCGTGCCCCCATTGGGACCCTCTTCCCTCCCAGTGCCCCTGGGAAAGCTGGGACACTGTGTCTCCCCCCTTCCCATGAGGGCCAGAACAGCTGGGGGGCCGTAAGAACTGGGGGGGCTCTAACAGTTATGGGGCTGTAACAGTTTGGGGGGGCTGTTGAAACGGTTGGAGGGGTCATTGTAAAACGGTTTGGGGGGGCCTGTTGTAACGGTTGGGGGGGGAGGGCTGTAACGATCTGGGGGGGCTGTAATAGTTGGGGGGGGGGGCTGACACACCACCCCCTGCTCCCCAGGACTCCCCAGCAGAGCGGGCACAGAGGTGGGTCTGCCAGGCACGTGCCCCACCCCCACCAGGAAGGAAAATCCTGCTCGGAGGGGTGGGATGTGGAGGGGGGGGCTGGGGGAGCCCCCAGTTTAAAGTCCCTACCCCTCGGGCCACACCCTGGATGGGGGGGCCGGGCAGGGGTGCTGAGGGGTCCCAGGGTGCTGCTGGGGGCAGAGGGGTGTGGGGGGACCCCTGTTTGTACCTCATTCCCCCCCCCACGCCCCCTCCCCAGAGCCCTGAGGCCGGAGGGGGGGCTGCCTCGACCCCCCCACCCCGACAGCAGAATGTAAATCTGACCAATAAACCCTCAGTGGTGCCGGCTCCTGCTCTCACCTCCTCATTCCCCCCCTCCCCAAATCCCGCCCTTTTCCAGCACCTCCCCCAGCACGATCTCCAGTGGTTGGAGGGAGGGGGTACATTGGATTGCTGGGGGTGAGGGCGGCTCCTGGGACAGGGGGGGCTGCCTGGGGGGCCAGGGACACACCCTGGGTGCTGTAGAGGGTCCAGAGACACACGTGGGTTGACTTGGGGGGCTGCGAAGGGGCCGAGTCCCGGCTCACCCCCGCGGTGCTGGCCCAGCCCCCGTGTCCCCACGCACCGGCTCTTGGGGGCCGGGGTCTCCTCCCCACCCGGGGGTCCCTCCCACCGGGCCCCGGCCTGAGCTCTCCACCCGGAGCTGGGGCGCCCAGACGGGGTTCCCGGTGTCGGTGAACCCCTCCAGCGTGTGGGCAGCTGCCACCGGGCAGGGGACAGGCAGGGCACCAGGCAGGTGACAGGCGGGTGACAGCCAGGCCGCCGGGCAGGGGACAGGACAGGGGGCAGGCAGGTGACGGGCAGGGATTGAGCGTGGTGGCAGCGGCCTCCCCCCGCCCTGCTCCGGGCAGGGACCCCCGAAGCCCCCGGCCCCCATCAGGGGACCTGCCCGGGGATGCAGATCCCTGTCCCGGGGTGCAGGGATCCCCCGGGATGTCCGTCTCACGCCCGGGGTATCGCTCCTCCACCGGGATGTTGTCCCCACCCTCGCGGTGCCGGTCCCTGTCCCGGGATATGAAGAGTCCTCCCCGGGCCGTGGGGGTTCCCCCGGGGATGCCGGTCCCGCTCCCGAGGTGTTGATCCCTGTCCCGGGATGTGCGCCCCTGTCGTGGGGCCGTGGGGGTCTCTGTGCCGTGGGTGCCGGGCCTTATCCCGGACTGTCGGGGTCCCCCCCGGGATCGCGGTCCCCCCGGGGGCGGGGCGGCTCCGCTGCCACTCGGGGCCGGCCAGCGGGTCCCGCCCGCCGCCGGTGTCCGGTTACCGGCCCCGGGGCCGCAGGAACCGCCGTCCCGCGGAACCGCCGCCCCCCGAGCCCACGCAGGAGGCACCGGAGGTGAGGGCACGCACGGGGACCCACGCGTGGGGGACCCTCCAGGGGGGCAGGAGAAGTGCTGGGAGCGAGGAGACACCTCCGACCCCGGGGAACCCGCGCCCCGCCCCGTTGCGTCGCACCCGGCGCCGGGGCCCACCCGTGTCCGTGGGGAGGGCCCCCCCCGAGCCCCCGACCCCATGGCGTGGCTGCAGGCCCCTCCTGGGGCTCCCACGCAGGATACCACAGGGGGGTCCCGGCCCCGCCGCCCCCAGCGCAGCGCCGGAGCGGAGCCCGGCCGCACGCGTGGGCTCTGTGGGGCGGGCGGGGGGCGCGGCGGGGCCGCCCCCGGTGGGGCCTCGTGGGCTGCGCGTCCTGGCCCTGCTGCCCCTATGACCTTGGGTGGGGCGGGCGGGGGCGGGGGGGCGACCGGGTGGGAGGGTCCACGGGGGGCTCGTCCCACCCGCGGGTGGCACAACCTGTGTGCCGGGCGGGGCCAGCAATGCCGGGCCGGGCTGTGCCGTGCCAGGCTGGGCAGTGCCACCCCGGCAGTCCGTGCCATGCAGCGCGGGGTGATGGCACAGAGAGGGGCACGGTGCAGCCGGGCTGTGCCAGCCCCACGGTGCCCTGCAGGGCGTGGGGACAGGGCTTAATGTGCAGGGTTTGGTTTGGTGTGTGCTGTGCCACGCAGGGCCAGGCCAGGCCAGGCCGTGTGGTGCAGTGGGGTGCAGCCATAGAGTACTGTGGGCACAGTGGTGCCAGTGTGAGCAGGTTCCTGCTGAGCTGCAGCCGTTGCCTTCAGCCCAAGGACACCCGTGGGAAAGGGCCCCCTGAGCTCCCCCGCGCTGGGAGGGGTCACCCCCAGCCTCAAACCCCCTGCTCCAGCAGCCCCCGCGGGCACAGCACCCTCGGGCTTGGCACCGGCCGTGCCAGCACCAGGGGGATCCCGGAGCCACGGTGACACAGTGACTTTGTGGCACCCCTAGGAGGGAGGGTCCCTGAGGAGCCCTGGCTGTGCTGACATCGGTGAGATCCCAGCCCAACAGTGACAAGAGGGACTTGGTGGCACCTCCGGAGGGGGGTCCCCGGGGACCCCCAGCTGTGTCGACACCAGTAGGATCCCTGCCCTGTGGTAACACAGGGGCTTCAAGGCCCCCTCAGAGGGAGGGTCCCCAGGGCCTCCTAGCTGTGCCCGCAGGGAGGGTCCCTGCTCGTCCCGCGGCTCCCGCTCAGCGGGCAGCGTTCCCGCAGGGCCGTGGGGACAGAGTGTGCCCGTGTGCCAGGTCAGGGGACACCGTGTGCCACGTGCCATGTGCCGGGGCAGGTGTTGCCCCGTCCTGCGCGGGTTTGGCGGCGGGCAGGGCCCGGCAGCTGCCCGGGAGCCGGGGGTGTCCTCAGCGATGTCCCCTCTGGCGGTGCCGGCTCTGACCCTTCGCTCAGTGGGCACCGGGCCAGCGCCGCGTGACGCCGCCGTGCCACGGGCTGGGGGGCTCCCGCCGGCCACCACCCGCCGGTGCCGTGACACCCCGGGGGACCCCCGCCCCCGGGAGGGGCACCCACTGACCCCCTCCGTGTGTGGCACCGTGCCAGGCGGGGTCCCCCACCCACCCCACTGTCCCCCGTCCCTCCCGGGCAGTGCGTGCCGGAGGACTGCCGTCCCCGTGCCCATCACCCTCGTGTCCCGACGCAGGTGCCAGCAGCCCCCCCAGGATGGCGGAGGCCCACCAGGCCGTGGCCTTCCAGTTCACGGTCACCCCCGAGGGCTTGGACTTCCACCTGAGCCGCGAGGCCGTGCGGCAGCTCTACCTCGCCGGCGTCTCCTCGTGGAAGAAGCGCTTGGTCCGCGCCAAGGTGGGTTCGGCTCCCCACCCCGTGCCCCCCACCCCCCCCTGCCAGCTGCCCCCCAGCCTCTCTGACCCCCCTGTGCCCACAGAACAGCTTCCTGACTGGCGTGTACCCCGCGTCCCCCTCCAGCTGGATGGTGGTGGTCCTGGCCACTGCAGGTTCCTGCTACTGCCAGGTGGACCCGTCCCTGGGGCTCATCGCCCGCATCCGGCACTGCCTCTCCCACAGGTGAGGGGGTGGGATGGGGCACGGCCCCCAGCCATGAGGATGAGCCCCAACCCCCAGCATGACCAGGGGGACCTGTGGCATCCCTGGGGGATCCCCCCCCTACACACCCCCACCCCATGGGCATGGCCCTTTTTGGGGATGTAGCCCAGGGCTCCCATCCCATGGGAACAGCCCTATTTGGGTACAACCCTTGGGGAGTCCTATCTCACGGCACGGCCCCCTTTGGGGATACCCTCGGGTAGTCCTGTCCCTCCTGTCCCCCCACCTCCTCACGCCGTGTCCCCCGTGTCCCCAGCGAGGTGCTGACCCCCCAGGCCCGCACGGTGGTCAGCACCGTGCTGTTCTCCACGGGGGCGTGGCTGGCGGCCGTCCTGCTCTTCCGGAGGGTGCTCCGGATCCTGCTCTCCTACCACGGCTGGATGTTCGAGCCCCACGGACACATGAGCCGCAGCACCCGGCTCTGGGTGGTGAGTGGGTGTTGTGGGAGCTGTGGGTGTTTTGGGGTGCTGTGGGAGCGGTTTGAGCCACGAGAGCTGTGGGAGCTCTGGGTGCCATGGGACCCTTGGGGGATGTGGGAGCTGTGGGTGCTTGGGGTGCAGTGGGAACTGTGGGAGCTGTTGGAGCTTTGGGAGGTGTGGGAGCCGTGGGTGCTGAGGGAGCCATGGAGCTGTGGGTGCTGTGGGTACAGTGGGAGCCGTGGGAGCTGTGGATCCTCACCCCACCCCTCCTCCTGCTCCCCCCCCAGGCAGTGATGAAGATCATGTCCATCCGCAAGCCCCTTCTCTACAGCTTCCAGAGCTCCCTTCCCAAGCTCCCGGTGCCCCCCGTGGAAGCCACCATCGCCCGGGTACGCCATTCCCATGGCACTGGGGGTCCCCCCGTGGTGTGGCAGCGCCAGGGGGTCACCCATGTCCCCTCCTGCAGTACCTGGAGTCGGTGAGGCCACTGCTGGATGACGACAAGTACAAAGAGATGGAGGCCTTGGCCAAGGAATTCCAGGAGAAGACGGCACCGCGACTCCAGCGGTACCTGCGCCTCAAATCCTGGTGGACCACCAACTATGTGAGCGTGGGGGGGTCACCTGGCACAGGGGCGACCCCTCTCCAGCATTTGGGATGGTGACCATGGACCTGGTGTCTTCCCTAGCAGCATGAGGAGGGATTTGGGGTCTCCTGGGTGTCCTGGCTGTGGCAGTAGGGGCAGAGGGTCCTGTGCCCTGTCATGGTCATCATCCCCTGTTTCTGCCCCCTGTCCCTTTCCCCATCCCTGTTCCCTACTTTTGTCCCTGTCCCCATCCATGTCCCTGTCCCCTATCCTATGTTCCCTCTCACTGTCTCCTGTCCCTGCTCCCTATCACCAACCCTATCCCCTGTCCCCTCTCCCTGTCCCTTTTCCTGTCCCTATCCCTCTTCCCTCTCCTTTTCACCTGTCCTTGTCCTATCCTCTGTCCTTATCCCCAACCCTGTCACTGTACCTGTCCCTGTTCCCTATCCCTGTCCTGCCTCTCTTGTTCCATGTCCCTCTCTCTCTCTCTCTCTCCCTGTCCCCTGTCCCTGTCCCCTCTCCCTGTCCCCTCTTCCTGTGCCCATCCCTTCCCTGTGTTCTCTCCCTGTCCCTGTCTACCCCGTCCTGTTCCCTATCCCCGTCCCTGTCCCTGTCCTCTCCTGCCTTCCCCGTCCCTGTCGCTGTCCCCGCAGGTCAGTGACTGGTGGGAGGAGTACGTTTACCTGCGCGGCCGCAGCCCGATCATGGTCAACAGCAACTACTACGCCATGGTAAGGATGGGGGGGGGGGGGGATAACCCGAAATACCCCCGGGGGCCCCCCCTTGACATCGTCCCCGAGCCGTGTGTCCCTTGTCCCCAGGATTTCCTCTACGTGACCCCCACCCACATCCAGGCTGCGCGGGCGGCCAACGTGGTGCACTCGATGCTGCTGTACCGGCGGCGGCTGGACCGAGGGGAGATCCCCCCGGTGAGGGGGCTGGGGGGGCTGCGGGGGCACCGAGGGAGCTGGGGGTGTCCCGTGGGGTTGAAGGGGCGGGGGATCCTCTGGAGCTGAGGGGGACTGGGGTGTCCTGGGGGACTGGAGGGGCTGGGGAGGGTCCCATGGGGCTGGGGGGACTGGGGGGCACCCCATGGGGTTCAGGG